TTTTTGAAGACGGTATAACAATTCTAGTACTTTTGGTTGAGCTGGTAGATGAAGGATCGCCCAAAAGAGATCTGTCCTCCACCATGTGGCCCGGCGTGTGTGGCCCGCCTTCACTGCGCCAAAGACGTTTCGTTTCACCAGTCCTTGCTCTTCCGCGTGGAGCTCTCGTGGCTCGCCTCCAACATTCGGCTCGCCCGAAAGGCGACACCTGTGGCGCATCAGGACACATCGACACTCTCTGTGGCAGGATGGTCCATGGGTCCACATGGATGGCACCCACCACCTGCTTGGTTTTCGGATTGAATTGGTTTTCAGGTCCTCCAACATCGGGGCCATGCAGGTTGTGACCGATGAGAGAGACGGTCTCGATTTGTTCGTGTCAACTGTGTCTCATGTGAGTAGCTTCACTCCAACTCTTGCGGCAAACCTTGGGTCTATCCTAATACCTGGGCCACAGTGGATGATGATGGTTAGGTTGCAGGCCTTGTTCAACAATTTCATAAGTGTTTACTGACTGTTACAGGTAATAGGACAAACCCAAGGCAACCCCCCTGATTTTAAAACAAACATGAACACCCAGCAAAAATGAGGATAGTCTTCCCGCTTCTTCCCGCCGTCTGTTCCATGTCTTTTCTTAAACATGTTTTCAGCGGTGGAGGGGTGAGTGGACGCTTCTTCAGTCCAGCTAAAAGAAACAACCCTCCATCCAAGAAAACGATGGTTATGTGGATGGCTTTTGGAGGACCAGGTTGCTTGATCAACAAAGGATGTTCCACATTGAGATTTGTTGACAAACATGACAAAGTTCTTCTGCAAACTAACTCCGGTTTTTCCTCCCAAAAAAACATATTGTGTGACGGGGTGCAAGATGGTGCAAGTAGGTTGATTGAATCACCCAGTAGACTCATACATTGCTCTCCCTGAATGGACACATTCATCATTGCTGAAGGCAAGTTCTCTGGAATTCCTAGCTGACCGTATATCCGACCGTATGACAAACATCTCCTGCCGCCCTCCACACAAACAACTCGGCCAATTAAGCTCGCCTATCAGGAAGAGCAAAATGCCATCTAATGGTGCTGTCCAGCCGCAGGTTAAAGCCTCAAAAAGGATAGCACAGCCGTCATCACATACCGCCTCAAAACCAAAATCTCAGGTTTTGTCCTTCGAATCTTAGGTTTTGAGACACAAACTCATGGTGTACTGGGTGTAAGAAGGATCCGCAGGATCCAGCTAGCCTCATTCCTTCTAAGTTGCACCAGTCTGATACGTCTTGGGGCACTTCTCCTTTTGGTCCTCTCCCACCCGGTTCAGCATGGAATCAACATCTTCTTCGGTGGCAGCCCCTCAAACCCTCGAGAAGTGACTGTCTGGTGAGTTCGGAAGTATCATAACAAACATGATTATAACATGTGCGAATGCGGCCACAAAAGCGATGCCTCACGCACAACTGGATGAATTTCAAACATCATCTGGACCTTCCTCTTCCAACTAACAGCTCGTGCGACTCGTAGGGAATGAGGGAATTTTCACCACCCCTGTAGATCCCTAGCTCAGGATCCAGCCACCCGCATGCCTTACGAGTCGCACCAATCAAACAAATTGAACTGTTTCATCTTGAACCTGAAAACCTCGGACTTGGCGAGTGTGACTTGGCTGTTTGGTCCCCAACTTCTGCCCAGGAGCTCCCAGCAAGGGCAGAACGCAAGCCGTTCTGAAGCTCACTGGCCTTGGCAAACGGCCTCTTAGAGCGTTCGTGAGAGCGGACGAGTCCGTGCCATTTCGCTCCGGTTTCACCATGCGATGTCAAGCTCTGAGAATGTGGACACCGGCGACACCGGGGACCAACCACCACCTTGAACAACACCGGGGGCCATTGCCGAGGAAAAGAACTCACAACTCCAAAATTACACACCTCCTCGCCGCAACATATCAAACAAATAATATATATTTATACCAGGGGTCCGTAGTCAATAGACTCGTTTTCCCGCAGGTCAGTCACTTCTGGCACTCTTTTCAGAATGCCCAGCCTCACTGGTGATCCTATACGGATGCAAACAAAAAAAAGCAAAAGAGCCTTTCACAAAAACGGGCTTTGAATGGAAGGGGCACGTGGCATGCTCATGACCCCCAATAGATCAAATCAAGCTATATCAAGCTAATGTAGACTCTTGATGAGTAAAAGCCCAAACATGGATTGTAAAGCCTCTTCATATGGATCTTTTATTAATCAAACGTCTATACATTGGGGATGTCCAAAGAACTAACTCTCACTTGGCTAAGGAAACAACGCGGGGACCAGGAGGAAGCAGGGTGGGTTATGTTTGGGGTCGAATTCCCATCTTCTGCAGCTTCACCCCAGACTTGCTTCCCGCTGCTTCCTCCATCATATCTGCCTCTTGTCCTCATCACGTCCGCATCCTCCCCCCCACAGGCTGACACGATGACTCACCATCTTCGATATGCCAACGCCCGATTCTGTGGGGAATCGCCCCTGAAGCCACCGTTCATGACCCATCTGTGGGAACAAGCGACCACAACGTAAAGTACCCACTTGCACATGCGTGTGCGCACACATGTCCTCTGCATCTGTCAACTTTGCCCAGTTGCAAGTCGAAGGAAACTAATCCAGCGCAAAGGATAGTGGTGCTAGGCCCAACATCTTTGCAACGCGTGAGAAGGATAGGAAGAGAAAATAGATGTGGTGCCTCGCTTGCGTGACCGTCAAGAAGAATAATAACACTCACAAAGGCCATCCCTGCACAAGAACATGCAAGAACTAGACTTGCTCCTCGTACTATTTTTGTGACTGCTTGTTTCTGTTCAAAGAAGCAGCAGGTCTGGGCATCAAAGGTCTGCTTGTTTCTGTTTAGTGCTACAAGGTCACAGGGTGAGCTTCTGGACCGGTCAAGAGAATTGCTGGGTTCCCAAGGATCTGGACAGGTGTCGTTCGTCGTCATCATGGGGAGAGGCTCCGTTGAAACCGTCTGAACTCGTCTGTGACAAAAGTACTTACCGTCACGAACTCAAACAGGGTGCCAGCAATAAGATCGATATACAACCATCTGAATCTGACACACAAACTAAGCTACAACGATTTACTCTTGATCATTGATGATGTCACATGCCAACAAGGAATCGCATTTGCAACTAAAGATTTTTCAGGCAGCTGCAAATTTGTTAGCCTCCAATCCGATCTATCTTGAGCCACAAGTCCCTATCACTTTCCTGAACATTGAATCCGGCCAAAAACAAAGCCAACGTGGACAAACATTCAACATCCCATTGCCAGTAACAGTAGATGATGATGGTAAGTAAAGGCCTTTCCCAAAATAGTCATAGCTTTTCTTCTGACTGTTTCTGGATGCTTCTGGTATAGAAGGACCAAGGATGGTTTCATTCACATACCCTTCAGGAGGCAAAGGCTTCCCAACACCGCTCTTCCCCCACTCAGAACATTCACATGCGCCAACAGGCAGCACTTCTTCCATGTATCCACCCAGGTGCCAGCAGCAGAAAATTTGGGAGGCGATCTTCCTGGCGTTTTGAGGGATTTTTCAAGCTCTGAACCGCTGAAAGCGGCGATCGACCGAGTCAAGCTTCGATCAGTGGTCGGCCAAGCCAATTGGCTGAACTTTCTGTGAGCCAATTGATTTCTCCCGAAGAACTCCTAAGTCTAGCGGGGAGTTGAGGTCCTCCAACAAAACAGTGTATCTGCCCTATGATGCACAAAGGTGAACTCCCTGTTTGTGGAGGACGACAGTCTTCCCATGTATCATTGTCCATTTGGTAGCAGTTCATCATGGGTGTAAGAAGCGTAAAACATTATCCAAATGTTTGTTCCGAAGGGGATGTGACACTACGTGTTTTTGTGCGTTTTAAGCACAACAAGTGTGCAAACCAGTGACATCGGGACAAATGGAATTAGCACAACTTACTGGAGTATCCTGTTTATGGGGAGTACTAAGGCTAAATACCAGGGTCGGACGGAGATTCGGAGGCTTTTTCGGAGGTTTTTGAGGGATCTGAAGCAGATCTTGTGTCCACAAGCGGAAATGCGTCAGTGGCTCACTTTTTGGAGAAGAATGCAGTGTATTTGGTCTGCGGAATACAGGATGCACAGGCTGTCAACGGGCATGGCGAAGCTGCACAACTTGAGTGATCAAGCTGTGATCATTTTGGAGGGTCCTAACAACCTTCTCAGAAGCGACCATTTGTGGATCCCCCAACGGAAATAGCCTCCGTTGATGTGGATCCCTGAACAAGGTGTTTTACAAGTTGGACCCGATCTGGTTGGTGGTGTCAATGAGTCAGTGGCTTCAGTATTCCCAACTAAAGGTTGAACCTGGTTGAACATCAGAATATGGCGACGTGGGTCCTTGAAAGACAGCGTGCTGACCAGCGCGACCAGTCCATCCTTCGACCGGTCCCGGGTCCCGGTCTTGAAAGTGCGCCTTCAGGAGAATCTCAGGTTGTAAATGTCGAAGTAGCCTCAGCGCCATGGCGCGGTGCATCGAGCAAGTACAGTTTTCCGAAGAAAAGAAAAACCATGGTAGGTGTGAGATGCAAAGCTGCTTGCGGAGTGAAAGGCTCTAGAATGAAAGGCTCTTCCCAAGCGGGAAGACTCTAGCGGGGGGGTAGCAAAGTCTGATTCCAATGTCTCCTTAGTTTCAGAGTAGATGGCACAGACCCCAAATGTCGGTCGATTATAATCAATGTTGGATCCTGATTAGTAAAAGGGATTCTCCCCCCCCACCTAAACAAATCGGAAGTCCCCTATAATAAACTACCACCAAAACAAATCTGGTTTTCTGGGAGGATTCCTTTTGCAATTGATTGTTGTAGCATTCATTTTCCTGTCTTTTCAATTCATAGATTATACAGTTAGTATATAAATAACATATGTCCTTTTTCAAGTTCTTGGTAGGTATTCTCAGCAATGCTTTTGTACTAGGAAGAGTACAAAGAAGGTTCTCAGGTTCTCCGCGGTTTTAGAGAAGAACTAGAGTCCTACGATTACCAATAATCCCAGCAAGCCAGCCATTGGCTTACTAGTATTCACAGGGCCCCGACGGATTTAAACATACCCTAATTATATGTTCAAAAACACAAACAATAGGATCAAACATTTTTTCCTAAGCAACACCAGCAAATCAGAAGCTCTAGAGCCTCCTGCCCTTAGTCTCTCTGGCACAAGGTTTGCATATGATCAAACATATATTCAGCATAACAAAGGACCCTTCAAACAAACATTGAGTCCAGATTTGTTGACCTTTGAGCCTTATAGAAGACCATATGACTAATCAGGATCCAACCTCATGGATCCCCGAACCTGTCGAGGAGAACGAAACCTGCCAGGGTGCGCCATCGAACCTCTGATGGCCCACGGTCGGCACGGTGCCGACGCTCCACGGTCGACCTCTAAAAGCTACACGGTCGGAACTCCGTGCTGCGTAGTGATGCTTAGTCATCTGGGTCAGTGGTCCTGAGAAATAAGCAGACACTCCGAACCGGTCTAGAAATCTGTAATGAATGTGACTGGTCTGTTCCAGACATTTCCAGACTTCATAGTTGAAGAGAGAAAGGGTCAAATGCTCCCTAGATCACTTTTCCATGTCGATCTACTTCTTTGTTCTTATGTTGTTTCTTTTGGCCTTTAGACATTTGTTGTCCTTTTCTTTAGACCTTGAGACAATTTTGTGTATTTAGACCTTTAGACTTAATTATGTGTTTATACAGTAAGTGTTTTTTTTCTTTAGACATATGGACGTTTTTTTTGTTATCTTTTAAGGCCATTAGACAGGACATGTGTATATTTGTTCTTTAGATGTATTGTTATTGTTCTTTTCTAACTTTTCCATGTCCACGTTTCCGAGGCCACTTTGACTTCCTTTAAAAGTGCAATGAAGGCACTTTGTTTCACAGGAAAACACACTCATTCTTGCAGCTTGACCAACGAAGGAGGGGGCATCAGCGGCGAGATCCCACATTTAGGGAATTGGACTGACTAGACGACTGGATCCTTGATCCAAGTCACAAGGGCATGCCAAAGGCCATGCAAACCACCAAGGCGGCGCAGGCAGAACGCACACCTTGAGCGAGATCCATCACAGACTCCTCCGGAGGACGCGCTAAGTGAAAGGGCGGGGATTTCTTCGAAATGAACATGTACAAACTTCGACCATTCTTCCAATACCAAATTGCTTCAGGAGGTTCAATTGGTTGGGTTTTTCAACTGGAAAGCGAAACACGATGCTTTCTGGTGTTTGGTGTTTCTATCGAACATCCTCCCCGCCAGTTGAGGCCGTGAAGCGCTTTTCCGGAGTTCCATGTCGGGGGTCGGTCTTTTTTCGACCACTCGGTGAGTGAGTTCCATGGGGAGTTCTGAATGCCCATGCCATGTAACCTGCGGTTCCCATCGGTTTTTTTCGGAGCATCGGCTGTGCGGCTGTGCTGGGTTTCTTGAGGTGTTCTGTCGGAGAGATGGGCATGTCCTGTGGAGTCGTGTGAAGCTTCTCGCCGACAAGAAACCCATGTTTTCAGAGGACTAAAACCCATGGGTTTCAGAGGGTGTTATGCCAGTCCCATGGAGTGTTTGGGTTATCATCTAGATTTATAACCCAAACACGACTAATGGAACTGGCATATTTACCTACCTTGGGGTGGTTTGGGGTCAATGTAAGTAAATATGCCAGTCGCATGGAGTGTCTGGGCAATATAATGAAAGCACAGGTCCTCCTTCATCTGGATAAAGCATGCAACCTGCACGGATGCCAGGGAAATGATTTGCACATTGATGTTGCTATTGGGACCGAAGTGAGCCATCACGCACTGCAATTCAATTCTTTGAAGCTGATCAACTGGTAGAAAACCTCCATTAGATGGAAGAACATTGTCTTCCTATATCCGGAAGCCATCTGAATTTTGTTCAGCAAGGGTATTCCTGCCAACAAACATTATCCTCTACCAGGTGGGGCTAGGATGGAAAAACGAGAAAGTATACATTGATGGCACATGCCTGCAACATCCCAATGCATCTGTGCCAGCACTCTCCTTTGCTACATTTGAAGGACACCTTTGCAACATTTCCTCAGCTCACGACGAGACTCCAACCAGGTAAACTTCATCTAGCCGACGCTTTGTAAAGTCAGGACAAACACATACGGAAATCTACGGAATTACAAACATAATCATATATCTCTAAGTATATATATATAATATATACTGTCATATACAGCATATGTATGTATTACAATATTACATTCATATACCCATTTGATACCTCTTCCATTGACCCCCTGAAGCTACCCCAATCGAAGTCCCATGGAGTCTCCATGGGTACACCTTGCCGATGCCTTCGGGTCTTCGGAAGGCTGAAGGTCGAGCGACCAGTCCCAGCTGAGTCAAGCGACCCGTCCCAAACATGTCCACCTGGCCATCTGGCCCGAGTTTGATGGGGCACCGCACCATTTTCTGAACATGAAGCAATTCCGAGCACCACTCAAGCAGTAAGGCCATCTGCAGATCCGAACCCTCCTAGCCTGGCAGATCTTAGGGGAGCACTCATCTACCGAGTTCTGGACACGAACCGAACCCCGCTTCGAAGAAGCACCAAAAGAGGCGACTCTACTCTGGCACTCCGGCAGCCTCTGAAGCCAGCAATGGGAAATAAAAGCACAGCAGTGGTCTAACCAATGTCTGACCTTAGATGCAGTTCATCCAAAGGACAAGAACGGTGCAAAAGGTTGCGGAAGAAATGCATCCACTCTCAGACATGCTTAGAAAATCGACATGTTCTTTCTTTAGTACACCGACATATTCCCAAGCGACACAAAACGTGGCAAAGTATGGTTTTGTTTTCAGCAATTTCAGTCGTTAGTCATTTCCCTCTGCTCTAGTGCATAGCCATCAAACAAATAGATCAATGTCCTTCTTGTGCGGAGACTAACCCTACTTACTGCCAAAAACATGTATTGACATGCGGCTCATGATTCTGCACCACCCTCTGGCTACCCCTGGTAACGCAACTCCTCACAGCTCCCCTTTTACCTTGGCTCAAGGGGCCAAGGTAAGCATTCTTGCGCATTGCGACCATGAGGCTTGTCATTGCTTTAAGCAAAGTTGCCAAAATAAAACCAACATTACACCAGCATAGACCCCATTGTTACTTGAAGCACATTGTTATTTGAAGTAAGAACCCCATAGCTCCGCAAGATTTGGTCAGGTTTACATCCACAACAAAGGGGTCCAACCCCAACGACTGAGGCTCTTTTTGACGGTTTTCGTCCGATTCGCTCAGGGGACCCCTGGACACCCAACAAAGGAATCGCCCAAGGGGGGCACCTGTTTTGAACGCAGTGCTGGCTTGAACCAACACCTGCAGCATTCACAACAAAACGCAACGCAATGACACCCCCACCCACTTCAGGGATCACTCTAATATGAACGAAGTGGAAAAACACCTAGTTTGGAATCATGTGTCTGCTTTCATGTTAGTGAATCAGAAATTTAAACAACATTGAAAGATCATTGAAAGTAATTGAAAGTTAAAATTCAGGTGCCCACCTCGTCAATCTTCTGACCTCCAGGCGTTGGCTCACATGAGCCAGGCCCTAAACCCTTGCTGGCGGTTTCTGTCCGATATCCAACCACTTCGGTCTGGTCCTAAGGAACAATGGAGGATTTTCATATTGAATTGTTTGTTGCCTTCTGAACGGAAGTATACGCACTTTCACTTGAGTGAGTTGGAGGCACTCCATGGGCGCGCCACACTTCCTTATGAATGGATGTTTCCTTACGAGTCGTGCCGATCTGCCCGATCTGCCCCAACTCAACAGGTCGACGTACCCGGTAGACCTGCTGGTCGACGTGATCCACAACGCCCACGTGATACACCCGGAACCGACACCACTCTCCTCTGGTGGCAAGCGAAGTGCAGGTGTCTTCGCACCTGCTGGTCTACGTGGCACGCGAGGGGTTAGCGCGGCAACACCGGCTTGGATGACTCCGAAAGAGGCCAAGGTGATGCCTGACGGATCTGTATAAACCCCCTCAGTTCGTCTAGGCGATTGGTCGATCCTGCCGAACGATGGTTTCAAACATGGTGAACACACCAAAATCCATAAACACACAGCATGTATTCCGGGAAACCCGAACAATCACTGTTGAAACACCACACGGCACACGGTGTTCTGTTGTGTCGTGCGAACGAGCTGTTCCGATACGACGGACTCGTCAGACGGACTGCTCGTCGCCGCCCGTCAGCACCGCCCAAAACACCAACGACTAAACGACGAGCCAAACACGACCCACGCCACAACGCCCATTGGTGTGAAGCACCTGAGACGTTTTGCAAGCGATCCACCGTCTAAGATGCAAACACGACCACGCCGGCGCCACGACTTGGTAGTACACTTTGGTGCACTGTATTCAATACTCGTTGCACATCTCTGTAGTGCCGTATGTCATGCCAGCCCATAGCCTTCGGATTTTGGATGTTCATGATCAATAAATCTAAGCGAACTAGATTTTGGCAGGTGTTCCAGGCACCAGGTATATGCATATATGAAAAATATATATGTATATTACTGTATATATTCATAAGTGCTGTGTGTCTCACCCTGCGGCACTTTTGCTACTATGAAGGCCCTCCACACTGAAGTTTCCTTTCAAAGTTTTAAGGGCTTGCTTTGGCGCCGCAGAACCACTTACTTGGTTAAGTGCGATTCCCACAGCTGCAGCGCAGCAAGCCTGCAAACTTACACAGCGCTACTGCCCTTGGGCACCGCTTAGAAGCAGCCCTTGGTACAACGCAGGGGGCGAAGACAACAGCACCTCCGCCCTATGAAGGCCATCGCGTTTCTCTCATCCGCTAGCTCCCCGCCAAACAACTTAATAACGTTGTAAATCCCCAGGGTGAGCGGGGTCCCGACGTTCTTTTAGGGCGCCCGCGGGGCCTGGCACCGGCGCTGTAAATACCGTTTTCAGGATCACATGAGCCGGGCCATGGGCCACGAGCCGTGCATTTTGGTCAACGCACGCGGCCACGGCATGGCTAGACATGCATGGTCACTGCCTTCCTTGACATGCGACATCTCAAAAGGCACAGGCTGCCATGTGCAAGGAAGGTGCCCAACTTGGATGCCGCAAACCAATCAAAGATTTGGCTTCTTCATGGGGGGCCCTATGGTTGTTTTCATAAACAAACTAACCCGGTCATTCAACTTCGCCTAGTTTGTGAGATTCGTCTCCGCCTGCGAGGCGCCGCGTCCTCCGGTGCTTCGCGAGCGCTGAGAGGCCCAAGGACGCGAAGGACAGCGGTCCCAAGCCTAGCGAGGTCATTTCGGTCCCAGATCGAGGCCCGATTTTCTGTGTTCCCTCTGGGGAAGACAAGAACACCCACATACTGCATGAGTACTGCATGAATTCTCCGTAGTGTAGAGACATGGAGTGTTTGCTAATACTTTTCCGCCAAACAAGTTTTGGAGTCTCTCCCGGGCAAGGCAAGGATGCCCAATCTAAAACAACACCAATACAGAACCAATAACTCTAACCCTAACCTTAGATCTGATGTGTCTTTTTTCTAAAAGACCTTTAGACCTGTTCTTCTTCCTTTTCTAACCATAGATCTGATGTTGAGATTCTTCTCTCAAACTCATCGCATCACTCGAGTCGAGTCGTGGTCCTCGAGATTGGTTTCGTGACCGGGAGCGCTGGGACGACCAGTCCACTGACGCTTGACGCAGGCCACCCTTCGACCTGGGTCCTGTTCGACGATATGATTGACATTTCCTGAAGGTTTCAGCACATTCCTGGAATTGGGTCACCGGTTGTAAGAGTGTATACGACATGTTTTTGAGTTGACTGGACTCCCAAAGGCTATGCTTCAGAGACTTCATGTCATGTTCCAGAAGTCCGCTCTGACCTTTTCTCCTATTTCCAGGATCCCAAATTCTGATGTTACAGTCGTCGATCGGCTCTCCAGTTAGGCGCCTAGGCCGTATCCGGCGCCGTCGACTTCTCGAGCAAATCGAAGTTGAGCGCCGCGTCTTCGAAGTGATATCAACTCCCCAGGTGTTCACAGTCTGGATCCTCTTAGTGGATTGAGAGATGGCACAAGTTACCCCAAGTTGGATGGTGCAATTTTGGAAACCCCTTCTGTCTAGGGTGTCTTGGGGTGCCAGTGTCATCTACTCTGAAAGCACTGTACTTTGATGCTTCTCGGGGGAAAAGCAATGGTACACGTTCCGTGCAAGTCCCAGCCATTCACATGCAGTCGAAATTGCCCAAAGGACAGTCCACAAACAAACGTGCAGTTCAAAGGGCAATGCTCTGTATAGCAGCATCGCAAGAATCCACTCATGAATCTGCAAACTACCACTCAGCCCGAAATAGCCTGAAGTCCCAATGTGTTGACCTTACCGTTGACCTTCCTCCTGGAAGAGGGCAGCGGTCCTCGTTCCCTTGAGGGCTTCTTCCCCACCCAGCACCAAACACCAGCGAAGAACATGGACGGTGGATATAAATCCATGACCCCAAAATGGTCTGGTTGCATCTTCATCCCGAAATCGACCGCTATGACCCCGAAAAAGCAAAAACAAACAGCTCGTATTTCAACGGAAAGGCCCCACCTCGGGCGTTCTCGAAGACGCTGCTCCGGCGCTCTTCGCGGCCGCGAGAGGGATGCCAAGGCCGCGATAATGCCCTGAGGGTTGGGTAATCCCCTAGGAATTTAGCAAATCCAAGGAGAAGCACCTACGAGAAATGCATCTATTGTTCCAGTGAGTTGGCATAGCCTATTTGTACTTGAGGAGGACAAGGAACCAGAAAACATATTTATCTTGCTTCAGCAACAAGGCAAAGGGGCAAAGGGGCAAGTGCACTTACTTCCACGACTGTGCGAACTCTCCACCTCCAGTGATGTGCGTCAAGGATTACTCTGCTTATGCTAGATCATAGATTTACTTTACTTACCTACTTGTAGTGGGTCACTATTGCAAAAGGGCAAAATAATCTTCACTGCAAGGATAAGTGCCACAGTACCAAATGACATGGCATGAACTGATGTAGGCACTATATATATATATACATGATGTTTATCATGGCCCATTTCTGCTTGTGAGCCAGCTGGACCTAGTATGTGATTTGGACATGGCCAACCGTCACACGGACCCCACACCTGGAGTCGCGGATGGTGCTCGGAGACGCCTTCACCTGAGTTCGAAGGATTTCAGTCACATGGCTGTGGGTCACAACTCGAAACTAGGATACTTTGGTTGACCATGGTTGACCTATACCTGGAAGGTTAAGTTACGAGTACTTGGTGTTGGGGCTCTAGGTTTTGACCTATCCCCACAAGTGACCTGGAGATCCTGATTTCACACCTTGTTTCACACACCCTTCGAAGGACTTCAGTCGACTGACCTCTCTGATTCCAACGAAACTCGCATGCTTTATTTGGCCCGCTGACACTCGCATCCTTCGAAGCGGGGACCACTGATCTGCTGAAGCAACGAGACAATGAGGACGATCCATTCTAAGAGGATAAGAGAGTGACGAGGGCATTCACTGCCAGATACTCCCCATGGGTTCCCTGACGAGGGCGTTGGGAAAAAATCCTTCTCCTGGAAGGACTGATGCTGGGTCTTTTGCAAGAAGAAGGACAAAACAAGATCACCCAACACACGTGATCGCTTTAAGGAAACTGTTTGTAATCCTAGTTTCTTTGTTGAGGGCGATCAAGGGTGTCACAGACAAAATAAAAACAGAATGTTCCTTCCGTAACAAACCATGCAAATTCTTAGGTTCTCGAGACTTTTCAGGTGCTAGCTGTCTTTGTTACCCTAAGAATCCGGACCCTCAAATGGAGAGACTTTAGAGGGCCCAGATTTCCGCATGAGGGTTACAAGATGCTACAAGGATCAACTGCAGGAAAGTCAACCCCAGCCCCACTCCATGTATGGGATATGTACCTAACCAACGATGCAACCACCCCAATGATGGTAACTATATGTAACTATACATGGAGAGTCTGGGACCTAATCCAAAATCCCGCAGGCGCCGACTTCCAGGGACGCCTGGCCGCAGAGGTCAGTGTTCACCGAGGTGCCCGGTGTGCAGCTTGAAGAACGACAAAGCCTGC